TTTCCTGTCCTGTTGCATTCATCTATTCTATTTTACCTCGTATCATCCTTCATTATCCCAAGTTTTTACTTGCTTATTATAGCCTAGTCCAGATGTGCCTTTTTGAGAGGATTTAGTTGGCCCACACTACACGGACTTGATCATGGACGTGCTCTGTAATGTAAAGGCTTGACCACGATATTTCCCCGGTGTACATTCCGAATTGTTATGACGGAATCTGCCATTTTAACTTAATTTTTCATCCATCCGGAGAATCCAGACTTTAGTGACTGGCTCACGGATATGGTGGCAGTGATCGAGTAAAATAATTAAACTAGGACGATAAAAAACGGATCTTACGAGGCAAGAAACATACACTGATAGGATCTGGATGAAGAGGATTACTGATTTTAGGGGAAAAATTGGATCGAAATTTTGAGCACAATGGTTGTGCGTCGGAGGAACCAGGGGGGAAAGTAAATAGGCATCATTAAATCCGCTCAAAAAAGCACACCAGAATCATATGTTATGAGGATATAGGTTAGGTGAATACACCAGCACCAAAGGTAAGATATCACTGCTTAGCAGATAATTGGTCAATTGATCGAGTCGACTCGTCTCCTTGACGAGTTGTGGTGCATCATGCTAAGAATGGCAAGATTCATCAACGATGCCGACAAAACGTCTGGGAATGCACAAAGTCCACCGTCCGAATCTGTAAAGTATCCTGCATAGTATGGATTCAGGACAATAAGTGTTCATCTAGGTCGTCTTGGCAATACGACCAAGTTGAGAAAACAAGATCAAACAACTTAATATAACGGAAGAAAACCGCGAAGATACTAAAGGTCACACCATTTTAGTCTTTATACCTTCGATTAAAATAAGCAAATTGGACATTGTGATATTTAAGACGGGGATAAAAGGAGATATGATAGGAGAACGTATCAGGATAGAAGGAGGGATATCACAACTGTTCAGCATACAATTGGTCAAAGGATAGACTTAACTTGTCTCTTTGGCTAGTTGTAGTGTGGTCCTAGGTCTTGCAGGCTCACTGACGATGCCGGCAAAACGTCTGGAAATCTATCGAATCCATTGTCCGAAGCGGGTTATTATGATGGATAATATGGCAGAGGAACCCAGACAAGGTATGTTGATCTAGGTCGCCCTGAAAATATAATCTTAAGGGACCTAGGCTAGCTATGCTATTGACTAAGAATAAAGCCTGTTATGAGAGAAGTCAACATTTTCTGTAAGGACTTGCAAGAACGCTGATAGTAAAAACCATATTCATAAGAATGAATTGCTTCCAGCCATATGCAAATAATATGAGATTTATTCACCATATTTCGTTTGAGGTGAAGAAGGACTGGTAGTAGAATTTTCCCACAATGATATGAGTAGAACCGACGTTTCCATTGAATTTCACAGAGCCTTCCTTTTCCAAAAGAATTTCTCGTTCAGGATGGATTGCAGTTTCTACCTCGCCTAGGTCTTATCAACACTCCCAGCTAGAGTCGAGCCGTGACTAGTAGTCTCTTCAAACTGTACTTATATACGAAAAATATAAAAATAATGCCTAAAACCGATGGCTTGATAAGCTCCACATTATTAAAATAAAACAACGCCGTCGAGTGCCGGCTTCATCGCAGCTATGAACTCTTTCAAATAATTACAATGAAAGCCCCAACTCCCTCTTACTCACACTCATCACATGTAAAAACACCGTCCCTTTAACTTTCGCTGTGTAAGGCCAGCCAGAGTGTTCATAATTATGTTACCTTTTTTACTCTCCTATACAATGCGCAATACCATACTCTTTATCATTCACTTTGCGACGCAGGATATGACTCGTCTGTTCGTCACATACAAAGGCGAACGGACAGCAATAGATGTACTTGGTGGCATGACAGTTGACAACGTTAAGCAGCTGATCAGGCATCAGTTCAGCATAAACGAGAATCGAGCCCAGCTGGGTGATGAGAATCAAGAGCGACCAAGCCTCGTAATTGAGTGGGCCGGTGCCCAACTCCAAGACAACTGGCTACTTGAGGAGCTATGCCTACCCACAGGGACGACGATCAAGGCTCGTCTCAAAGAGGAGATAGATCCACTGCTGCACATTGATGTAAGTGCTAACCAAGAATTCTAAAGTTTTTGTCGAGATATCGTTTGGCTTGCGAAAAGCATTCACATTGGTTGCCATTGCGGCATAGAGACTGCAAGAGTATTTCTACATCCTCCCAGTTAAGGTCTCTATATTGAGCCTTTGTGTTTGATATAAAATATAAATGTATCCATTCTCTATATAGCTTAATTCAGAAAGTCTTAATACTTTACTGCAACTAGTATAACCTTAATTTGTAGCTTTTTTCTGCACACAAATTATAGAAGTCTTCATTCCGCCTTCTTACTCGCCAGATGCGTATCCAAAATTCTATGCTCAGCTCGGATTAGTAGGGTACATTTTCGAGACGAGGAAAAGCTATGGCTCATAAATTCAATAACAAATACTAAAGCATCTTGAAAAAAATTCTGTCTTAAATTTTGCGATTTTTTATAACTACCTTATAAATTATGGTCATAGGATTATTCAGAGAATACTTGCAGATGACATTCGAACGAAATACTGGAGGTATCTAAGCATCGATGTAGATACTAGGACAGGTGATCCTGGCAATTAGGAAGGCTTCAAGTTATTCCACCTTTCATGAGTTGTTTTAGGTCACCTTGTCCATTACATAATAATCCTGGTTTCGATGGGTCTACTTAACTTATCTTTTTGCTAGATGTGATGAAGAACTTAAAAGAGATATTGTTTAGGCCGGAAATTTAATATATCAGTGACATCGATATTGTTTCTACAGCTTATAAAATTTGGAGAACGCATATATCCTCAGTGAGATGTTAATTTAATCTGTCTGTGGACTTCAACTCACTTTTGAAGGTTTTCAATATCAGTATTTCTTGAATGCGCTCTAAAATATTTTTTTCTGTGGAAATTGATACTAAGCATCTGTTAATTTAAGACAACATTGATAGACGCCATTCTCTTCTGCGCAAGGAAAACGACTCAACAAATATTTCCTCGAATTCTAGGGGAAGAGATTTTGAAGGTAGCTGTAATACAAAACTGCCAAATTAAGACAAACTAATGAACGAATTTCGCTATTGTTACAAATACATCGAAGGTATGAAGACCAAGATAGTGTTAACTTTTTGTATTGTCGCAATCTTCATACATTCTATTAAACTATGAAAATAAGATTGTCAAATAATGCACCGATTACAGCGGGGCAAATAAGACAATTGTAAGTCAAGCATGCCATCTGACCTTTTTTGAAGTGTTGCAAACATATGGTACCGCTCCCGGGTTCTGCAACCTAATGAGGAAGTGCCATTGGGGTAAAGTTAATGAAATACTTTATCACGTCCCCATCCAGAAATTAGAGGAAAGTTATTAGACGGAAAGGTGTAAGCTATTTATGATAATAGATATTAAGTCTCGATTTAGAAAGGATGAGGTTCTTACTGTGGTTGATTTTCAAGAACTCCAAAGTATGACTGACCAGAAGTCACAAAGGGTCCGAGATTTGCTAAATAAGCGGCATGAGAAGAAATTTCTTTGGCATGGATTAATAAGACAGCTCAGGATTCAGACAACCTGATCAGCTCATGATATTCAGGTATTGACGACATCCACTCCTCCCAAGGACGATAGGGATAAGGTAGTGAACTTATCCGCAATCTTTCCTGATTCCAAAACGTTGGATCTCCTGAAAATGGGTTTAACCTTTCACTTGTTAACGAAGGGGAGATTTTAGAACATTTCATTATAGAGGTTGCGAACATCTTGGAGGAATACCCAGAAGTGACTAAAGAGAAAATAGAAATGGAATGAATTTTGAGAATCGTCGCACATCAAGAGACAATAAAAAGGAGTGGAGTAATGAAGAAACTTTGATAATTACAAATTAATAACCAAATGGTACTTCAGGTGGATAAGTGAGGAGTGACGGTGGTAATCGACAGGCAACAGTACACGGATATAATAGAAAGTTTTCTAGGCGACCGGAACACTTATCAAATACTAAGAAAGGATCCAACAATGAAGATCAGCGGAATACTGGAGTAACTGTTAAAGGAAGGTGAGCCGATGACTTCTTCGAACAATTCAACAGTTTTCCTCATGCGGCAATCTTCCTTCGGTTTCCGGTGAGACCACATCACGAATTACTTCCAACCAACTTTTCCTTTACAATGGAAAATCATGCCACAATAAGAGATCTCGTTTTCAGACTCGTAACTTATAGTAAGCCAGCGCATCCGGCCAGATCTTTATCGGAATCGCGGTCACCGCACTTTAGTTCTCTGCTGTATGGGTTTCCTGTGTGCCGTTTTCCCACGCCTCGCATCCACGTTATGGCGGAGTTAGTATGCCCTCCGAGGACAGAAATACCGCTCTTATCCAGC